AAAACATGGTGGTAGTCCGGCTTCTAGTAAGCATGTCGATGTGGTAAGCATCATGAACTGATTGTTTCTTTCGGCGAGTGAATTGTTCTGGGGATGTCCTGGAAGCGACTGGTCTAGTGGAATCCGGAGTTCCTTGAGTGCTGCTTCAAATTGTGGCGCATCATCCGAGTAAGCGTTGGTGACCTTTCTCTTACCGATGTAGTGCTTCATCGCCTGCACCACTTCGTCACTACTGCTTGCTTTCAAAGGATAGCCCCATATCACACCAGTGAACCGATCTCGAATCACCAATACGTCCTTATCCGGCATGATCCCATCTCTCGCCATCTTCTGAGTGTTCATGAGATCGAAAGTGATAAGGTCACCGAATGCCTTCAATTTCCGTTTGAAAGCTCCCTTGCTAGTCTTGTAGTGCTTCATCTTTGCTCTCACACATGACTTGCAGTATGGGTTCTTGTATCGGTGCGTCATCAAGTGTAATATGGATCTCGCCTCGTTCTTCAGCACTCCTGGTTTTGATAGTCTGGCTTCCCCGTCAACCACATCAACTTCCAATAGTCCCTCTTCATCTTCACCAGTGTCACTCTCCTCTCGTTCAGAATCCGCATCACCTCCATGCTCGTCGCCTCCGGCATCTTCAGATTGACCATCGTGACCACGATCGATTCTCGGATCTCCCCCGTCATATTCCTCTTCAGGAGAATACCCGTCATCACCGTGTTCCTCTGGTTCTCCTTCGACGCCTGCAACAGCTGGATTGATACCAGATTCACCATCCTGATCTCTCTGGTTATCTTTCTTCTTTCTCCTCCGTCTCCGTGGTTTCTTGGGCGGAGGTTCCTCTTGTTGTGTCTCCTGACCTGCTGTGGCCTCGTCTTCATGCCCCACACCTGACAGTATGCGATGAAGTATCGTAGCCAAGCCGTCTGGCCTTGGTAAACATCTCCCGTCATCATCATTCACCTTGATGTAGGGTATGTTGTCATGCACCGATAGCGGAATCTTGTTCGCGTTCTGGTCGATGAGGTATGGCAATTGATTTGCCGGCCATACGAATGAGTACCCTTGTTCCATGCACCGTTTCCCGATGGAAAAGACTGATGGTGTGCTCTCCAACACGTGTGCTTCGGACATCATGGGTAGTTCGTCCACATTGATGTCCACCATCTCTGATGTACTAGTTACACCATTCGCTGTCATGAAGCTCACGGATTTGGGTCCTTCCTTGGTGGTAAGGCCCATGGCATTGACTTTCTCTCTTGAGATCAAGTCGTGTCCACATCCCGTGTCCATGATGAAGCGTATCGGTGGTCCATCATACCTCTCCACAGCCATGAACATCGTGTCTCTTGGTATCGTGTAGTTGACAGAATCCTTCCTTACTACCTCGTTGGTGTTGAAGTCAGACAGGTCGACGTTCACCTCGATTCCTTCATCTTGAGTGATTTGTATCCATGCCTTGGCGATGTGTTCAGCAGAGTATAGCTCCATCATCTTACCTTTGGCATGTGCTACTCGTGCAGCTATATTGTTCACTCTGAGGGCTCTCAACGATGAAATGAGCTCGGTATCCACCTTCTGCACCTCATCCTTCTTCTTCCTGAGGGGACGGGTATTTAGCTCGTTACCAGGATCGCAGGTAAACGTGGTCACATTCGCCCGGTCATCGAATCTGACTTTAAAGCGAAGCGCCAGTTTACCTTGTTGTACGTTGGGAAGTGCGGGTTGCACATCCTCGCCGTCACTCTCGATGTCTCCGCAAAGCATGAAGGCTGGCGCAGCCGGTTTGGGCTTGGCTTTGCCTTTAGCCTCTTGTTTTGTAGCAGGAGCAGCGTGATGCTGACGTCGACATTTGTCCCCGAACTTGCACGATCCTTTCTGCCAATTCCAACAGACCTGATCCTTCATTGGTTTAGGGCTAGTGCTCCTGCCACCAGGACTCTTTGATCTGTCACCCTTGAAGCTTTCTGGCTTCTTAGCAGAACTTTTGTGCTTCTCTTGGTGACTAAACTTGCATTTGTCTCCTCTAGAACATCCGTTTTTCCCATGGAAGTGGAAGGCGCATCCTATCTTGGACGTATCTGCTGGAGTCGCTGACCTGCCACGATCCCCCTTTGGGCTCTTCGTGGTCGATCTTCCACGATCCTGCTTCTTGTCCTTCTTGTTGTGGTCCTTCGGATTAGCCTGAGGAAGTACTGGAGCTGCGTCATGCTTCGGTGGATCGGCCTTGGTATTCTTGGGTTTCGCTTTAGGGTCCTTCTTCTCCGCCGCTGGTGTGGCTTTCATGAGGTTCCCAAAAGCTTTTTCCCTTTCTTTCTTGTTTGTGGTCTCGATTGATTTCCGTATCCACTTCGCCATGATCTCTCGTAACTTCTGGTAGGTCTTATCCGGATCCTTATCCAACATGTTGTCGTACACGGACAAGTCTAACGCCATAACTTTGGAATCCTTAATCTTGTCCCAAAGCAGTTTGCGGAGTGCTTTGTCAGGAAGCATGTCATCCGCATCCATACCTGATATGATCTCATCCCACTGTCCAAGGAATCTGGATAGTTGATTATCCCCAGGGAACTTTAGATCGAATAAGTGCTTGGATGCATACATCACATCGACGTTGTCGGCACTCCGGAAGCTATCGACGATCAACGCTAACATTTCTCGTCCCTTGACCATTCCAGGAGTTGTGCCTCTCGCACGTCTCTGCATCATCTGCCTCACCTTCAGTTGTACGTCATGAGATCTCTCACCTGCTGCGTGGATGATCGTATGTAGGGTGATACCTAGCTTAGCGTCTATGCTAGCGAATCTTGCTTCGCCTGATGTCTCGAGCAGAAATGGGTCATACGGTGATCTGAAGGCATCCGAGAGCCACTGGATCCAGTCTTCTTGTCTTTCGTCGCCCGATGCCGTCACGACTGCCGCTACAACCTGGGATTTCCAAACCTCCAGGTCGTGTATCTTGGGCCATGCAGGGATGTTGATCTTCTCGTGTTCCTTCCGAGATATCTTGGAGCCACCCGAGCTAGAGGATGAGGCGGCACCATGTTCGGTTGCGGCTGTATTCTCAGCATTCAAGCGCTCCTCTTCGTACCTCCTCCGGTACTTATTCCTCTCATCTCTGAGCCGTGCTGCATGCGCTTCGAATTCCATCATGTCCTGTTGGTTCTGCATCATACCTTCGTAGTACTCCATTGCCTCTTTCTCCTCGGACCTTAATGACTTTTCGGTACGTCCAAGTTCCGCTCTAAGCTTGGTCATCATCTCGTTCTCCACATTGGGTTCTGATCCCATGTCTGATGGTTTCAACTTCAGTGCGACCTTCAGTTGTGCTTCACTTGCGCTTGATTCGATCAATTCTTCCTGAAGACGTTTCAGCATCCTCTCTTTACGTAGAATGTCTTCTTCCAACATATTCACCTTGACTTCGGCTTTCTTGAGTCGGGCGTTGGATGGTTGAGACGGTCGATCGGATCCTTGAATCCTCGCCTGTGTCAACTCCTCGTTCGCCTTCTTCAATTGCTCCCTGATGGTCATGATGAAATTGTCCTGATTATTAGATCGGTTGTTGAGCTCCTCATTCTCTTCTGACAACCATTTGATCTTGCTTGCATACATTGCTTCCTTCATTTTCATCTCTTCAGCATATTCGTGTTTGTTCCTGGCACTCTGCCTTTGTATTCCAACTAACTCCTGCCTGCACAGGTCCTTGACGTTCTCAGCATCTGCGATTGTAGTCATGACCTCGGTTATGGCTCGATCTCTTTCGGCCGATATAGCCTGGATCTCTTCCGTGCCGATGTTCACAACTTGACTAACCATCTCCGCGCTGTTGCGATCAGCGTACTCCCCTAACTGGGTGAGACGATCCCGCATTGCCACACGATCAGTGTCCATCTGATATTGCAGGTCGTGTGCTGCTGAGAGCAAACAGTCTCTGGACTCGGTAAGTTGGTTGATTCTTCGTTGATTTCCATATCCTTCGACGTAACATTCTTCGAGGTGTGCCATCACTACTTCGTGGACTTCGGTCTCGTGTTGTATGATCTGGTTCTGTCTCTGCTCACATTCGACCATCCATGCGTTTTGGTGGTTCAACATATGCACTTCGGCAAGTAGTTGCGCACACTTCGCATTGAGGTCTCCATCGGCCCGTGCTAGCTGTAGGTTGTCAGTACTTGCCCTTGCTCCATCTCCAGCTTCGCTGTCCGACGGTACTGGTACAGTTGACCCATCCTCCAATGCTAGCACTCTCACAGCTCCGGTGTCAGTCCTCCTCCTTGTCTCCCTAGGGCTACGGCCTGACCTCGGTGTCCCCCCCGGTGGTGTCGATTGCGCTGACGGGGAACGACTTCGTGCTCTACCTGTCGCAACTTCTCTCACCACTGTCAGAGTCTCCGCTTCGATCGTACCTGGACTAGAGTTGTGGGATGCACTCATCCGATCTGCGGCCGCGGCAGCTGCTCCAAAAGATGCAGTGCTGGCGTCGGATTGGTCCATCTTCAGTGACTGAGGGTAACTGATCTATCCGATGCGTGTGCGTTTAGATGGTGTTGTGTAAGGCCGTAGCTCGTACCCAGCTCAAAGGAGTCTGGATACGGCTGATAACCTGCGAACGGATGAAAAGTGTGCCCTGGCCCCGTTCTAGCCCTTAGTTCAACATGAAGCTCGCGCGCTAAAGCTCCTTTTTACCTGGTTGGGCACTTGAGCCAAAAGTATATGGCATGTACCTGTATAGCGACTATACTGAGACCTCATCCCTATTGACATTAATGTAGTTTTTCCTATTTGAAGACTCTCCACGTTCTAGCTGGCGGTCTCAGACCACGGACAGCGTCAAAGTCTAAAAGACTCTCCATGTTCCCCGAGCAAGCGAGTGTTGGTTTGTATGTTAATTGTTGCCGCTTCTCTGCGCTTGCGACTGCGACTGCCATTTTTGGACTTGGGCTATAAGCGTGCCACCAACTTGCCATTCAAACATATTCAAATCAGTGTAGCCCAACCTCGAGGACGTACATAGTGGCATACCTAGTTGCAGGAAGAAACATGCGACAAACATTCGTTACAACAGATTCAACATTCTGCATCGAGGCTTGGACATCTGGACGATTGATTCTATGAATAATGAAGCGATGATGCTTTGGGAATGCTTGGGCTTTGCAATGGATTTGGATCGTTTGGGCTTTGCATGGCTTTGCCATCGCGACACTTGGAAAGCTCTGTGATCTTCTCGCTGGCCACTTTGAGCTCCTCATCACCTCAGCGTGCACTCAGTGTCAATGCCCAACAAGGTCAAATCGAAACAAAATCAGCCGTGCATCATGGGGTCCTTTTGTTATCACAGTGGTTACGACCGGCTAGAACCGAGCTGATAGCATAATTAACAATGTCTTTGTAATGTCTATCTAATTTGTCAATTTCGTCATTCGTGAATCGTCCGTGGCCTTCTGGTGCCTCCCCGGCCTATCGGAAGTCGACCGCGGCCTTCCACCCTCCTCGACCATCGTTGGAGCGAACCAAACCCAGTGGCGTTTCATCACCGCCATCTGCAGCCGTCGCAACGAGGCGATGAGCAACTTGGGCGCCTCCTCGGGCCTCACGTGGCTGCTCGACAGTGCCTCGGTCGAACGGCAGGACAGCACGGGGTTCCAGACGTCCTACCGAAGTGGGAGTGTAAGCAGAACTGGGAGACCCTGGAATTAGGAGACCTCTCATGAGTGGGTTTGGTCGTCCTAGTTTGCTGCTTCCCATTTTGGGGGCTGCCTAGTTAGGGCCCAGCTCAATCCGGTCAGCATTATGGATGCGATTCCATCGCCATCGAATCAGTTTTCAGCTCAAGCACTGGATCTGGGAGGTGGATCTGTTCGAGGAAATCGGCCAAAACCAAAGGAATACCTTCAGCAGCGTCGTATTGTGACCAAAAGCAATTGGCAGCGGTCACCGGCGATGGGTCACCGCCAACTCCCCAGCCTCGCAATAAATCTTCACGTTTTTTCAGCTCCACCTGGCATCGGCCACATCTGCAAATAGAGAAAAGGTAGTTTTTTGTTTTTTTTCGGATTCTATGTGGAGCGATGTGTGCCAAAAAAACTCTACGTCGTGCCATCGCCTGCATGGTTGCATATTGAGCATGAACATCTGTCAGCTCCTGCAGCATGTGGAAGCCAAATAAATGGATAACTTCTCGGATGACACTCACTCACTGGAGTGTTCTTCATGCATAGTTACGCTGTGTTACGTTTGTGAGGGGGCAATCAAGTTGTGCACCATTCCGTTACAGCCAACCAAGACTTCGCAGGCAAACGGGGACACCTTCTTGACTATCTCCTCACTGTGGCATTCCGAATCAATCAACCCAAAACGTCCAAACCAGTCAGCCTTGGGCCAAACAATGGCATTCTGTGCGAAACACGTTACGTGCAGCTCGGAAAAAACATGACAAGTGTGTGTGTGTGTGCATGCATGTGTGTATCTATTTGTGTTTCTCTATGTATGCATGTACGTCTGTATGTATGTACGTACGTACGTTTGTATTGTAGTGATGTATTGTATTGTATTGTATTGTGCTGTATTGTATTGTACTGTACTGTACTCTACTGTACTGTACTGTACTGTTATGTTATGTTATGTAATGTATGTATGTATGTATGTGTTGTATGTGTTGTATATGTTGTATTGTATTTTATTGTATTGTATTATTGTATTTGTACTATTGTATGTATGTATGTATGTATGTATGTATGTATGTATGTATGATAAAGTATGTATGTATGTGTGTGTATGTACGTACGGATGCATGTATGTGTGTCTGTATGTATGTATGTATGAATGTATGTATGTATGTATGTATGTATGTATGTATGTATGTATGTAGTATGTATGTATGTATGTATGTAGGTATGTATGTATGTATGTATGTATGTATGATGTATGTATGTATGTGTGTATGTATGTATGTGTGTATGTATGTATGTATGTGTGTATGTATGTATGTATTTATGTATGTATGTGTGTGTGTTTGCTTGTGGGTGCGTATGTTTTTTGGCGTTTGTATGTGTATGTACGCATACTTGTATGTATGTTTGTATGCATGCATGTGTGCATGTATGTGTATATGGTCGGGACTGCAAGTAAAAGTTTGCAAAAATTAGATTCGATCGCAAGCTAATTCGTCTCTAGTCCCTGTATCAGGATCATTCAACGATTTGGGAATTAAGTGGTGGCTTAACTCCCATTATCGTTGTTCACAGCCAAGGCGCAAAGGGACTTGATTCAAAGTTAAATCTTGGTTGAATTCTTTCTGACTGCCTTTCAATCTGCAAAACCCACGTTCATTCAGAATTTAACCTTGGCTTAATCTTTTCTGGCCGTCTTTCAATGTGCAAAACCCACTCTCATTCAGAATTACAGTCAAAAACACTTGGCTAAAGTCTTGCTGACCGTCTTTCAATCTGCAAATGCGAGCCTTTCACTGCAAATCCTTTTTGGTCAGGCAGGGCTCAGCGAGGCTTTGTGGCATCATAATGCTGGCCCATGCTCACAAACAAAGTCACTTCAGAACCCCAGCGATCTTCACTGATGCACACAGGCGGTGTGTGTGTGCATATGTATGTATGTATGTATCTATGTATGTATGTATCTATTTTTTCCTAGAGGGGTTCTTTTGCTGCATCTGGTCTCTTGGCCGTTTTGGTCGCGGCAGCGCAGGAGCAGGCAGCTCGTTTAGAAGAAGTCGACTTGGTAGTTGTCGTGGTCTTCATCTGGCGCAGATTCATCTTGCATCTCTTCGGAGCTTGAGGCTGCTTGGGTGCCTGCCTGTTGGCTGGGTGTCATGGCCATTGCAGAGCTGTGTTCCTCTTCCCGCTCTGCGAGTGGCGTGGAGAAGTGCAGCCTTTTGGGTGGGGGCCCTGCCACTGACGCTGGAGCGCTTGTGCCAGGTTGTGCTTCTCCAGCTTTGCGATCTCCGGTTTGTGACGGAGGTGTGCTTTTGAAGAAGGAGCTGATCGGTGGTGAGCCCTTGATACCAGCCCCTTTGCATTTGTTCAGGAAATTCGATGTGGTGATGATGCGCTGCTGCCCATCAAGGTGAAGTTGGAGCCCACAGAGGGTGCAGCTGATCCTGTCGCCTTTCTGCCAGAGCTGGTGACTGGGATGGCCAGTATGTTGGCCTGCAAAAGGACAGTCCAGACATGGACTGTTGATGTACTCGGTGAAGGCCTTTTCGTTGATCCTCTTGTGGATACTGGTGCCGCATTTGGTGCACTTCAGATAGCCTTTGGTCTCTTCAAAGCAGTGTCGGTCAGTGGCCTGATCTTGACCTGCTTGTGCTTGTAGGATGTTCCTGATGGTTTGGATTCTGGTGAGTTTCTTGTCAGGCGGAGGGGCCTCAGGTCCTGGGCTGGGACATGCCTGATCAGCTTGAAGTTGGGTGCATGGCTCTGCCAGTCTGTCTTCTGGGATCGTCTGTCTTCTGGATCTGTGCTGTTAGGCCTTGGTGCATCCGTGTTCCACAGGCTGTGCATGCATAGCCACTCCGTTGGGGTGCCCATCGATGAAGTGGGGCTTGCCATGGCTTGTTGCACTGTTGGATGAGATCTTTCTTCCTCTGCTTGGTGTGTTTGCCAGGCTGCCTGTCTGTTTTGTGATGGATAAAGTGCTGCTTGTCTGCGTAGATCTTCTCGAGCCTTTGAACCGCATGGGTGTAGATGGTCTTGCGATCTCTGTCCAGTGTTTGTTGCCATGCTGTGAGCCTGCAGTCATGTAGCCCATCCGCACGTTCCCAGGCTGTGAGTGCTGCATCCCTCTGTCTCCTGCGAAGTTGTGGTTCACGCCCGGTGAATCAGGCGTTCGTGTCTTGCGGCTGATGTAAAGCACTGTAATGCGTTTCCTGTCTTGTTCTGTTGCGCCTTCAAGGAGGTCTGGGTAGGGATGCTGGTGTGGTTGTTTGTCCATGCCTCCCAGACTGAGCTGAGTTGGACAGACGGGCATCCACGCCATCGTCCAGCTCCCCTCTTTTGCCGGCCTCGGCCCTCGGTCTGCTGCCCCTGTGCCACACCTGCGATTGCCCCCAGTCGTTTGGGTTGCCCCATGGACTGGGTGTGTACGCAGAGGCCAAACACCCAGATTTGGCTGCGGCTGTCGTAGTGGGAGGGTGTGGCATCCAAAGTGAATGCCCAGCCCACATATTGATCCGGCCCAATTGGTTGGAGTCCTTGCCATATGCCGTGTCGCTGGTAGGGTGGTGGTTGCGCAAGTGTTCTTGGGGTTCGAGAGGTATCCAGCCCTTGGACCACAAGGGTTCTTCATCCTGGCATGTGATGCGCTCCATCCATTCTGGTGGAAGTGGCTTGTGGTTTTGGTCACGATGCCATTTACACAACCACAGTATATGCCGGGACGTTGCAAATGGGGCAAAGCTTGGTGGAATCTGCATCCCTGTAATGCAGTGCTCCCTGCACCCAAGTCTGCAGATGCCTCCGCTGTTGTTGTGGAAGTTTGCCTTTGAGTTGTCTGTAAGTGTGCCAGTCCAGGCCGGTGAGCAGATGCTGATGGTTTGGCTTCTTGGCAAATCTGCTGGTGCGCTGCTGTTGGGCTTCCTTGTACAGCAGGTGTTCCAACCACCACCAAGGTTCCGCCATTTGGATCTCATTGGAGAGCATGAACTGGTTTTCCGGGCGGCTCCACTGCATAAGGTGCTGGACATCCCATCCCCATTCTGCCATATAGGCAATGGTGGCTGCCATGGGTCCTTTGACAGTGTACCATGGATATTGGTAGTTGTTCGGTTGGCCAGGCGTGGATGAGCTGGTGCATTGCCCTGATGTGGTGGATAGTGATTTGGTCAGCCGGGTCCACATACTTGGTGCTGTGGATATCATAGGTGACATCCAGGATGCCTCCAGTGTGATGTCCTAGCTGTTTGGCCAGTGCATGTCTGAGCGCCATGCGGTATCTGGGCGCTGGTCCCCCAAATGGCTACTGGCTGGATGCCTCCTCTGTGGAGTCTTAGACGGACTCTGAGGGCTGGTATCTTGAGAGTTCTCAGTTTGATTCTTCTTTGGGTGGCTTTCTGCATCCTTTGCTTCATCACTGGGACGCGTCGGATCCGTCCTGCTTGATGGTCGATACCAAGATCTCTCATAACTGGTACGGCTGGTGGCTCATCCTCTGTGAGGAGGTCTTTCAAAGCTCTGTTGGTGTGCTTGTCGGTGCCAATGAAGGCTGTCTTTTTGGCGCTGACCTTCAAGCCAATGCTGGTGAGCTTGTTGTGGAGGTCCCTGTAGGCCTCTACTGCTTGCTGGGCCACTTGGTGGGGACTGGTTCCTGCTGTGTCAAAGCCAATGTCATCCACCCAACTCAACAGGTGGATGTGCTTGTGCTGCTCGTGCCATGGGGCCAATGCGGGTGTCAGCACTGCCTTTGCAAGCAGTGGTGCCTGGGGAAAGGCGTCATCTCCTGTTCAGCGACAATGGCTTTTGGCCCGTGTACACCTGCATGGCCATTTCCAACATGAGTGGAGGGTATTGGATGGCCAGTGCTTGTTCTTGTAGTCTCTGTAGTTGGATGGTGTCATAAAAGGTTGACAAGTCCATGAGAACTGTGACACCGTGTTTGTTGTTGGCTCTGTGCGCCTCCTGCCTTAGCAATCTCTCCAGGGCTACCTGGAGGACATTGGCGCCTGGTCTTGCCCTGTCGTGGTTCAATTGGTCCGGGAGGTTGGCTTGCCAGTCATCAAGGAGAGATTTCCTGAGTCGACACCACAGCCTGTAGAGGGTGGAGGTCAACGTGATGGGTCTTTCTATGGTTGAATTTTTGGGAAGCATCAACACCATGTGCATCTGCAATTGTGTCGGGAGTTGCGCACTTTGTTCCATGTCCTGGATGAGGTTGAGCAAAGGCGCCAGCGCAAGTGGTGGCGCTGTCCTTAGGAGTTGCGCTGACACTGCATCTGGTCCGCTGGCTTTGTCAGGTAGACCTTTGATGGTCTTAGCCAAGTGTCCAAGTGTGATGGGTGCTAGTGCTTTAGCTTGTCGTTGCGCTTGCTCTCTGAGGCTTGTTCGTGGTGTTGGTTGGTTGCCTGATGTGCCACAAGTCGCCCCAATCTGCTAGTCGTTGGGTCATGCGCTGGTCAGGCTCGAGATGTCGGTAGGGCCTCTTCCAGGGAACTTCACTGCTCTTGAGGCTTCGAAAGAGGCCTTTCAGCCCTTTCGCGTGTCCTTGTTGTAGCCAAGTTTTGTACTGGAGATGTGCTTCATCGTTGGCTGCCTGTTGTGCTTCCTGGAGCTGGTGTTGCATGGTCTGGAGAAGCTCGGCTGCATGGTTATCCCTGTACTGGTGCCAGTGGCGGCAGGTGTCAAGGAATTGTCCCCAGGTGAAGCCATTTGGAGTGGATGTCTTTGATGGCTGCCATGAACCCTTTGGTGGGTCCTCCTGGCTGAGAGGCTGGTTGCTTGAGCGCCAGTCTGAAGCGGGCCTGAAGTTGCTCCCAGTACGCAGCCTTTCCTTTTTTCCAAGCGCCGCCTGGCTTTGGAGCAACAAGGGGTTTGATCGTCACCCTGAGATTGGCTCCTCTTCCTTGGGCAGCCCAAGGGTGTTCTTGTAGTAGATATTGTTCGGTGATTGAGATCCAATCCGCCCACTGTTGTGCCTTGACAGAGCTCAAAAGCCTGAGACTGGTATGTGGTCCATGGACGGAAGTCAATGTCCGGTGTTGCTGGGAGTGCTGGAAAGCATTGGACCTGCCGGTATTCTTTTGTGGCTGCTTCAATGTCCAGGTGTAGCGTCAGCAGAGCGTGCGGTCGCCAGGGAACAGCCCACTCCGTGGTCAATGCTGTTGCGCTGGAGATTGATGTGTGGATCAGGCTGTAGTCGATGACATTGCCAGAGAGCACACTGTGGTCAGGTGCCAAGATGTCAAAGTGGAACTTGGACGGGAGGACTGTACTCGAAATGGCACTGGGTTTGTTCTGCCAATCCCCAATCAGGATGTAGGGATGGTTGGTAGCCTGCAGTAGTGCCAGAAGCTTGGCTATGATTGTGGCACTGGTCTCGCTCTGGATGCTCTCATTGGTGTGGAGGTACACACCTGCTACCAAAATTGTCTTCTGTTCAGTGGCCTGCCATAGGAAGGCTTGGTACCCGCATCCTTGGAGTGTGAAGTTTTCTACTGGTGTAAGGCCGCGTGAAGGATCTCCCAGGATCAGGATGCCGCCATGGGTGCCAGAGTTGTCTTCACTGGGCCAAGCTGGTACTCCACAAGCAGTTCGTCCCCGAATCGTGTAGTATTGGCATGTCTGCTCATGTTTTTGTGGGTCCAAGTGGGTTTCCACAAAGATGTAGACTTCACTTTTCCTCGTCCAGTACCAGTCGATAACTTGTCTTCCAAATGTGGTGACATTGGCGTAGTGCAACTGGTTGTGAGCCTGTTCGAGGCGAGGTCTTTTTTGGACTGGGGTGAAGCGGTGGATCAAAATCTGGTTCCTCTGGTGGTGGAAGCATGTGGATGACTTGTTGGGTAGTTCTGAACGTGTCAATGTGAACTGCCCAGATTTGCGTCACCTGGCTGGCTAGTTGCGGTGTAAGATGTGCCAGATGTATTGGAGGTTTGCCATCATCTGCAAGCCACATGAGATCCTTGTAGATGAGGATCGCGAAATAGTGCCCAGATTCGTGGTTGGGTCCTCGATGGCAGATCAGGGCCGCCGGAACAAATTCAGTTGAGGCTCTTGCAAATCCGTCCAGTGATCTGGGTACAGTGAAGGTCCCATATGGATTCAGGATTTTCTTGTGCTTGGAAGCAACTCCGTCGATGGTGGTATTCCTGGTGTAACCAGGATGGGCTTGTCATCCATGAGGTATGTCCCAAGCCTTCGTTGGCCCATCCATTCATCAGCGTCTGCAGCATGGTGTTCTCTGGCCAGTCATCTGGATAGTCAACTAGGAGGGGTAGTTGAACATGGTCGGCCAGGTAGCCACCGGGTTTGATCTCGGCATATCGGTAGTGGAATGCTCTGCTTTGTGAAAGGTGCCACAAAGTGTTCACAAAGTGATTTGCATCCCCTTGTACATTCAAATCACGCTTCTTCCATAGCCGTTGCAGTCCTGGTAGGTCTTGGATGTCAACTGCTTCAGCCAGTTCGAGTGATTCTTGAACAGTTGCATGCAGGGTGCCCCAGGGCTCGGTGTGCGTTTCTTGGAGGAGCGCACACGTCCATGTAAAAGCTCTCCATGGTGCATTTGCAAAGCACCGTGAGCTTGGATTCCCCAAGCAGTCATGGAGAGGTTTTGGAGGATGTACTCTGTTGTTGAGGCATATGTGTTCTGCGTCCTGAACTTCATCGAGCTCTTTGTTTGGCTCTTCACTGGTAGGTGCTCCCCGTAGAGTGCCATCAGCGCCAGAGGCGGGTGCTGTTGTTGTGTCAAAATTGTGCATCCAGTTGGTGTTGGATGGTTCAGTATTGTCCTGTGTGGTGATTTCCCCTTCACCTGAACAGGTGTTGTCCCCGACTTGAAAAAGGTTTGGTTCCTTCATATCGTGTGGTGTCTGGCCCCCTGCACCTATTAAGGTTGCCCCCGCCTGGGTTGAGCCGGATGCAGCACGGCAAACCGGTATGCATGGTGGTGCCTCGAACTCTTCCCAAGGTATCGGCGCCTGATACGCTGGGGTTGTGGGTTTCCCTGTGGTTGGAGTGTTACCCACACTGCCCCCCTGGTGGTGCGGCCTGTGCATCAGTTTTCCTTCTCTTGTTGATCTCTTCTTCATCTGCTTTGGGCCGTTTGAGTAGGCCGTGCAGTTGAGTTCTTTGCTCATCTGTCAAATCAACGCCCAGACTAGAGACAAAGGTTTCTACTGCCATAGGAATGGGCAAGTCCTTGGTGTCATCAGGCTCCAGTCCGGTCGGTGGAGGTGTCTGGGTTGTGACCTTCATGTATTGATCGGACAGTGCTTTGAGGCGTTGCTGGCCCTCATTCAACTTGCTTTGAAGGTCTTGCATGTCCTGAAGCATAGATGCATATTGTGATTTGACTTGATCCAATTTCGTCTGGAGTTGGTTCTTCTTGATGGACACTGACTTCAACTCTCCCACCTGGGCTTTGAGCTTTTGTGCAAGCTCCTTCTCGGTGTCAGGCAAGGGCTGGGTCAGTTTTGTGACCACTGCTTGTACTTCTTGTGGTAATACCGTCATGTGGGACTTCAAGAGCTCAGTCAACTCGGGTTCCTCTTGCGGCGGTGGTCCATACCCAAGAGCTGTGAGCTTGGCTTGAATTGCCTCTGGGATGACCTCCCAGGTGCTGGCCAAGAGCTCTGCTGCTGTAGCTTGGTCTTTGTGCTGCTTCAGAGGTCGAAGTCTGTTGAGGCCTGGCGGAGTGTCCAGCAGCTGAGTGGAAGCTTGTTTCCTTGTCCAAATGCTTTGGCTTGTCCATGGCCTTGTCCTTTGCCCTTACCAGAGCTAGCTTGCTGCCACCATTGTCCGCATTTTCAGCACCTGGTGTCTGGTCGTAGTTTGTCTATCCATATCCAGTTGCTGCAAGAAGGATTTTTGCATATCATGTAGCTTCTTCCCCAAGACATGATCACTGCACCTTCCGCGAACTGGCTGTAGAAGTCTTCAATGTTATTGACCGGTAGGTGTCAAACTCCCCAAGGCCGAAGGAGTTGGTAGCCGGGATCGTGGAGGATGTCCAGGTCAAATTAAGAGCCGTGAGCGAGCACTGCCAGGCACCAAAGAGCAAGTCAAGAGCGGTGTTGGAGTGCAGGAGATGACGAGCAAAGAATGTGATCTAGTTGGACTTGTACCGGTCCAAGGTGTCGGGGTTCTGCAAGCTATGCTTGAGTGGGGTGCCGCACCAGGTGGTCTTTATTGGCTGCCACCTTGAGCAGCTAATGGCCTTGAGCATGTCTGTCTGTCTGTCTGTTTGTCTGTATGTCTGTATGTCTGTATGTATGCACGCATGTATGCATGTATGCATGCATGTGTATGGATGTGTATGCATGTGTGTGTGTGTGCGGACGGACGGACGGACAGACGCATGGGCGTTTGCATTGATGCATGGATGCATGCATGCATGGATGGATGGATGCATGTACTCTATAGATATACATATATATATACTCATACAGTCATACATACCGCATTATACAGCACAAGCGAGCACAAGCATGCTGCGGTGCGATGATCTCTACATAAGGACATATACTGTCTTTTCCCCACATGAGTCCACAGGCCTTTTCTTTCCATTCGCTTCTGTGCTTTTTAGTTGGTTCTTTTCCTTATTCTTTCGTTTCGACGATTCGACCATTCATTTTCGGTCCACTGAGCCCGTGCCTCTTCTAAACGTTCTGCTTCGGTGGCCAGGAGCTCTGCAGCTCTCAGCTCTGGTGCAGCCTCTTCCCTGAGCCTCAGCTTCTCCTGGGACCGAGGTTACCATGTCCAAAAACTAGAGCCTAAGGCCTAGAGCCTACTGGATCCTACTTGCACCATGGCCAAAAACGACTGAAAATACAAACGCTATCAAAAATGTAACACAACCAGTAATATATATATATATCATAACTATAACTATATATATATTAATCTTATATTAATATATGTTGCAATATCTTGTTTAGAAGTACCCTTTCGCCAACGTGTCACCAAGTCAGATCAAGCCAGTGCCCCCAATGTGTGGGTCCCATACTTTGTTTCCGTCTCCTCGGTCTCTGCGAGCGTCTCTTTCAGGACAGCCAACTCAGAGAGTTTCCTCACAGCGGCGAGCACTGAGGCATACCGTGGTGGCGTGACGGGGATCCGCAAAGCGCTCCATGGCCGTCTGGGCAAACTTGTGGTAAGGACGCTACTAGGAGCTCCTGGTTAGAACTATTAAATGGGAAATAACTCATGCCTTAAAAGAGGAACCAGGAAACAGGAAGCGGCCTTATCGCGATACTTCCTTCGTCCAAAACTCCGACCACAAATCCCAAACTTCAACAAGCAGTTGACTCCATTCATCTAGAGATCGTTGAAAGATCTTGCCGCAGGCTCTGGATCTCCCCTTCAAGCTGCGGCACCCTGGAGACCATCTGCTCATTGTGCCTGCATCGCGGCTCCGCCGGAAAACCCGCTTGTACGATTGAGGTTCGAAAAGAAGCACACCATCATACTTACTTTGTCAGTGTAGTGTAGCCAAGCTGAACCACACAGGTCAAAGACACAACACTGTGACCACATGTGCTGTGGTTCGACGCACCTCTGTTTCTCCATCGCCTCAACCAGTTGAGCACCTGTCCGGGTCCCTGCCACCTGCAAGTCACCTGGGCTCACAAAACCACACGATTTGCAATTTGCAGCGCCAACACACCGAGACCCAGAGAGCACAAAATCCCAAACCAGCTTTTGGAGTTTAGCCTTTGAGGCTTATCAGGGTGAGCTCCCAAAAGCCTCAAAGGCTAAACACCTCGACCCGAGAAGCGCCTCTCTTCAGGGGCTGCGATGCTGCCCAAGTGTCGGATCAGCGTCTCCTTGGCCTCGAGGTCCTGCCAGGCCCGGTCCAGTTCTTCGGCCAGCACAGCCTCGGCTGAAACTCTCCGGTTTTGACTTCCCTGGAAAAAGTTTCCAGCATGATTCACGAGTATCGCAGTATCGCAGTTTCTGGAGAAAACACACTTAAAAACACATTTCATGGAGCCACAACAGTAGTGAATCCTGGTCATGGACCAAAGAACATGTCCAAACACCTTCTTATAGGGTAAAACCCCGTGCACTGCTGTTTTCACCTGCAAAGGCCCACAACCGCGGACTGCATAAAGGTTATCATCACAGTTATCACGACACCCAATGTCTCTGCCCTCTCCTGTTCACATTGCCTTGTCCAGGATAATTGCACGGCTGAAACCCCTATCAGCTCTTTTTTCCTCCTTTTCTCTCCATTCGAGATGTCCCCCATCAAGCCTTACCATGTGCATACACGTTTCCAAATACAGGGGCATATATAAAAATATATATATATATATATACAAAGCACGCGCAAAGTATATCCATTTATCCAGTGACGTCCTTCAACCCATCAGCACTGAGGCTCGGGAGACGGGATCGCCTCCTCCCGCTGCAACTGAGCCCGCAAGCGCGCCAATTCCTCCTCACCGGTGCCGTCAGTCGTGTTTCAATGGTGCCCACACTGTGTTGGTCGGAAAAGGGGTCGGCAAATGTTGGCAGAGACAAACAAGCCACGAAGGCTTAAGCCTTGGAAATTCAGAAGATTGCACACCCGCATCTCTCATTCTCTCATTGAATTGAGTCTTTCAGGTACATCTCTCTCTCTCTATCTCTCTCTCTCTCTCTCTCGCTCTCCCCCTGTGCCGACTTTGACTCCGACTGTGGCACAGTCATCACACTTGGAACACTCTGACAGCACATGACAGCACCACTGTAGACGTTGCACCAAAAAAGTGCCTTTCAAGAACTCAATCAACTGACAAGTCTCTCGCTGTCAAGATTCTGAACAACAGGAGGGCTACACTGCTACACACATTCAAACAGTTGAAGTGTTGGCTCGGCACAGTTATGTTATGTCCGTCTCTGTCAAGAATGGAGCTGCATGTCAAAATTATCTTGCTGCCAATGGGTTGGCTGGGGTGCCTTATACGCCACATCAACCGGCACTTTGCGTGAATCCACCAACGCTATCACGGCATACATCGACATTATACCACGACCAATGACCACCATAGCGCAGCAAAAGAACAAAACACACGACGCCAGCTGGACAAGCGCACACAGCGCAAACAACAAACATTCACGCAAACAGTGCAAGGCATTCCAGCACGACACACGTCACCTTGGTCGCCAAAAGGGCATGACCACAGGTGTCTCTCTACGGCGCTCAATCGAATGCGCACGCAGCGCACGCCGTGTGGCAAATCTGTCTGGTTGAGCGCAAGGATTTGTCAAACACGTCTAATGTCGTCTAATCTTCCTTCCCTCAGCCGAGATCATTCGCAATGCTTCGCTCTCCTCCAATGCAGGTACAAAGCCACTGACTGACACATGGTACTCAAATTCGGGAATGGCCCCAGGAAACAAAAGGTGCCATGTGGCGAAAGCCAGGTGCCAAGGCATGTGTACCAAATCCGTGGCAGCTCACGTAGCACAAAACATGAGATGACAGGAAGAACCTGCACTCTTGCTCATCAGGGCCTTGTTGCCAAGCGGCTGTCAACGCAGGCAAAGGCTTGCGAAACACGGTGATGCACAGTGAAGCTCAATCCCCACAGCTCCTGCATCTTTAGCTTTTCTTGACTTGCCTCGAGGGACAACAGCGCAGAACTTCCTCTTTGATTCTGTAGCACTGCAAATACTATTCATGCCTCTGCGATTCAATTGTATATTATATATTCTGATAACAAGAGTCGTAGTACAAACTACCGCAAGTCTCCAAAAGAACGCAAACAAAAACTCTTTGGATGTATAGCACATTTGTCTGATCTAGTACAGTACCGCACCCGAAAAGTTGCCAAGACATGATAGGACCTTCCCCATCTCTGCTTCGTACTTGATCTTGCCGTGGCGCAGCTCCGACTCCTACCGCTTCGTCCAAAGTCCAGCGAACCCTTGACGAGGATATATAAATTATATATACATAATAGAGATACAGTAGATCTTATGATCTCATGGTCAGCAGGGTACGGAGACCCCGGAGCCACTGGATATTGGATGATATTGGTCAGATGTTCCTCTTCCCTTCGTCTTTTTCGGTCCCCGGTATAGAAACGCCCACAGGCTCATATATACAACATGGAGATAGCCTTCCGCCAGGGTAGCTGGACTACAGCATGGGCCAAAGCCTAGTGCCGAGAATGCATCCTGCTTCTTGACATTTTCAAGGTCTTGTTGAAGACGAGTCACCTGCAAAACCGTTGGAAGGGAGGCCACCAAGAATCAGTTTGCGCCATGAAGCCCCTGATAGAAATGTTCAATGTCACCTTTTCATCTTAGAAATTAGTAACCACATGTAACCACCAAGCTGGGAAACGAAAAAATGTTCTCCCAACCTCTCCAATGCCAGGGGGCAACATCAAAACCCAGGAAAATGATGAGTTGACTTGTGGTTTCTATCCAACAGCCCTATTCCCCAAAGTGCCCCAACTCGTCCCACTCAATCGGCTCTCTTCGTCCCCTGAAAGGCAAGCCACACCCATTCCAGCCCTGGTCGTTCCCCAGCTGATCAGCCAGCCCATGGTTGAGTTACGCCCTTCTGAAGAACATGTTCGCGCCTTGAAAGCCTGCAATTTGTTTTCATATAGAGTGGAAGGCGTTTATAATATGGACGTGCGCATCACCATCAAGAAGTACCACCCAACTACAAGTAACTCGCTAGTTTTCTGGCGTTGCTCTGGCCTCGGCGCGTGGGGCGGAGATTCATGTTGGCGCAATCGGGGAAAATTACTTCACTTCGATGGTCCCCTCCATGACACTTCAATCTGACAAGTTTTCTGGCACGTATTGCAACCTTATTTCGGCATTTTTTCTGGCACATTCTGCTGCTTGTCAGACGTGACAAACATTCTTGCAAAACAGCGGCGTGCCGCCTGTCAGGTGTCTGGTCCGGAAAGGCAAAGGAAGGAGGCAACAGAAACATCATCTTTGACATATATCGTGACATTTCTATCTAGTATATATTCTAAGCGTCTACTTGCCATATTGTCTGACATGTTTGTGATTGTGTGTGTGTTTGTGTTTGTGCTTATGTAACTGTTATGTGTTTGTGGTTGTCTGCTGTGTGTGTGTGTTGTGGATGTGTCTTTGTGTTTGTGTGTTGTGGATGTATTTGTGGCTGTGTGTGTGGTTGTGCTGTGCTTGTGGTTGTGCGTGTTGTAGTTGGGCGCTGTGGTTTTGCGTTGTGGCTGTGTGTTGTGGATGTGTCGTGTGGATCAAACAAACATGTGCACCCCAGTCAACAATCTCAGATAACCATTGCACCCAAGAGCGCGCCCCGCTGGCTTGGGAACATGCCTGTATAAAACTTCTCTGACAGGCCTCATGACCCATGACCTTTACTACCTTTACATTTCGGGCTCTATCCCCTCAATTTGTGATAATGTTGGAACCCAAATTAGTAAAATGGTACGGAATAGTAAAAAGTTTTCGCCAAATTATTAACACACCCTGATTAGTCTGATGGGTCGGAATAATAAAAAATATCACAGTGTGCGGTTTTTTAGAGGTTTGTTTGGTTTTTTACTGTTCTGCTATTGCTCACCCTTTAACTTCCTTACTTAACTCTCCTGAGGTTTGCTTGCTTCATGGAGTTATGACCTGAAAATCGCTTTCAAAAACGTTTATTAAAACTAAACGATTTCATTGCTCCAAACAATTTTTCAAGGGGGTAGTACACCAGCCCTGGGTAAGTGAATAATACTACTTGTTTAGGGGTGGGATGAATATGCAATCTTCGGGCCCTGAGGGAAAAATCTAATAACTTTATGGTTGTTCTATATTGTTCTGCTACTGCTGCCCTTTCTAACCTTGTTTATCTCTTCTACTCCTACTCCTACTCCTACTCCTACTCCTACTACTACTACTACTATTACTACTACTACTACTACTACTACTTACTACTTACTACTTCCTACTTGCTACTTGCTACTTGCTACTTGCTACTTGCTACTTCCTACTTACTACTTACTACTTACTACTACTACTAATACTACTACTACTACCACTACGACTACTACTACTACCTACTACCTACTACCTACTACCTACTACCTACTAACTACTAACTACTAACTACTAACTACTAACTACTACCTACTAACTACTAACTACTAACTACTAACTACTAACTACTAGCTACTACCTACCAACTACCAACTGCTACCTGCTACCTGCTACCTGCTACCTGCTACCTGCTACCTACTACCTACTACCTACTACCTACTAACTACTACTACTACTACTACTTCTTCTTCTTCTTCTACTACGACCGCCACAACCACCACCACCACTACGACGACGACGGCGACGACGACTACTACTACTACTACTACTTCTTTTGGGTGGTGGGGTTACTCTTCAGACCCCCTGGATTGTTTGCTGGGGAGGGCCCGCTTACTAATTAAGATCGAACATTAGAAGCGAACTGACCGAAACGACCCCATAGCAAAAGCAACGCATCCACATGTTCCAAGCTGCGCTCCGCTGCCGGAGCGCGCGTCTGTGTAAGGCAGTGTTGTTATCGCAAAACACGCAATGCGGAAGGCCGGCCGCAGAGCGCGAATGAATCCACTGGTCACAGGTCACTCAAACTTTCTTCAGCCATATATGCCATGTCTTTTTCTGTCTTTGTAGTTGTGTTTGTGGTCAAGTGTTTGTGGTTGTGTGCTGTGGATGTGTCTTTGTGTTTGTGTGTTGCGGATGTGTCTTTGTGGTTGTGTGCTGTGGATGTCTTTGTGGCTGTGTGCTTGTGATCGTGTCTTTGTAGTTGTGTTTGCGGTTATGTGATGTTATATTGTTATGTGTTTGTCGTTGTTTGCTGTAGTTGTTTGTGGTTTTGTGTTGTGGTTGTGTGCTGTGGATGTGTCTTTGTGGTTGTGACGTGAGGCAGCTAACATTAAAATCTAACAACCCTCACCTGACAGGTGGGGGAAAAAAAACAAAACCATCAAAGTTCAGGACTTCAATGATTGCAATTAACAATTCATCCCGTCAGGGTTGGTCCACATCCCCCTCCCTCAACAAGGGGCCCCTTGCAATTTCATCCCATGTTGCCTCCAAAAAGGTCTCAAACAAATCAAGTGGGACAAAGTCAATGGTTCCATATTTGTTGGTTCAACATGTCCCCGTAGCAAGGAAGCACTCCCTGAGTACCTCAGCCGCAGAGAAACGCAGTTTACTGTCCAGCTCTTCGATTTGCTGCATCGAAGATCGCTCCCCTGTAATCTGCGCCTGGCCACGCGGATGGACACTCCGGAACACTCCCAAAATCTCCCAAATTCATTCAAAATTGCCTGTACGCGCTCCAACTTTCCTCGCAAGCTGCCAACCTCCTTGTTGAGGCGGTCCACCTCTCCTGGTGGTGGGGAACTTGCACAAGTCCCAAATAGCCCCAAAGGCCCGATCAATAATCTACATGGAGTTGCTCATCATTTGAGGCGTGTAAACATCACAGCCACTGCTGGCTTGTTAAAATCCGCTTATAACATATAGTATATCGTATATATATATATACCGTAATCATATACACCATCATAATACACCACACACAAGGGAGGCCAAGGCGGCCGGATGCTTGTTCACATCTTTGAGCCCCATGCCAAGTCAACAAACAATGTGTAATAAATATATATATATGTGTGTATCTTTTTCTTCAATCGCGCCATGGCACTGCCCTCGGGTCCAGCCAGGATGCCTCGGGTGCAAGTACGCCGATGCCATGGCCACCGGGAGGATCGACATGAAGCTGACAGATCAAAAGCTGGTCAACATACCGCGTACTCATGGGCTTTATGGCGCCGTCCGCGTTCGCGATGTGAAGGATCTGAACGATCAGTTGTAGTGTCCAACTAAGAAGTCCAACTTTGCTCAAAATTGGAACTTTTCCTCCGCCAGGGAATGAAATCGCGTCAAGCGTTGCCAGTGGTCGGTGTCCACTCCCTTTGGCACATGCCAGAAACGACTCCAGCTCTTTTGCTTTCGGCCCTTGCGTTCCTCCAGGGCCATCAGTACCGCTGCAAAAGGTGAACAGTCTTGGTCTGCAGAAAAGTAGTCAAACCAGCAGCTATGCGCGTCCACCTCTGCCTGACCAGCCCCACAGCTATGCGCGTCAGCAATCAAATTCCCAACATTATCAAATTGTATCTCACGTTTTCTGTTTTCAGGTTCGGAAAGCTCTGCATCTGAAAGACCTGGGTGCACGTCAGGACTTCGCATACCGCTATCCAGCCTTCATGTCCCGCACCGTCTCGGGTGGAATCGAGAGGAGGAAGCTGTAGAGCTGTGGGCCTACCATGGCCTCAGGCAACTTTAGGCTGAACCGAGGCCATTCCTCAGCAAAACAGGTCAACCTCGCTACGACGAAAGGACTGTCTTCTGTACAAGTATGGTAGGAAACTCGCAGCTGAAACAACCAATCAATCCAAGAAACATCTTCAATTTAGATTTCATGCATCTCCTGTCTACCTCTTCAACCTAGTTTCAACACATGGGTGACGGGCTAAGGGTCAAGACCGAGGCACAAGGACATGTTGAAAGGCGACTTCATACTCATCAGACAGAATCACAGGGATGCAGCCGCAGTGGATACTCTCCTGGGACAAGCGGTTTCTCTTCTTGCTGGGTGAAGACTCAAGACCTATTAATGCCGTCTAGGTCCTAGGTGAAAAGCTTGAGGTCTGGCTTTGCATGGTCTCACTCCTCTGGCTCTTGCCTTGCCCCTCTAGTCACCAGCCTGTTTTACATGCGGATGTGTGTGTGTGTGTGCGTGACCAGATCGACTGAATGTCATGCTCACGGTTCGTAGAGCTGATTGGTCCACGGAGACGTGCCCGCAGGGATCAAGCAAAAATGCGACCGGCCCTTCACAGTGAAGTAGTCAGGGATAAAGCCACCTCAGTGCCAAAATTGCACCTTTTGGCACAAACCAAATGCACAAAGAGTCATCAACGCGACTTTGTAGGCAAGTTGCCGACATCCACACCCTCCATATCCGCCAAGGCCAGAATGCGGTCGCGGACAGCGCATTCATGATAGACCTCCTGGACAAGGACCACGGCACCCTACCCAAGGAACACAGACCAATCAGCACCTCTTGCGGCAACAATCCTTAATATGGTTCTCTTATGCTTTCTTGCCCCCACAAATGGATTAATTAGCCTTCAGTCGGCATCTGCGAGTCTCCTTGTTCCCAGAATGGCTGCCATGGAAAGTCATCAGAAGATCTCGCAAATCTGATGGTCGGTTTTCCATTCGCATGGCTTGTAGTCGAGCATGATCAGTGTGCCCAGGAATAACGATATCTTTCCAGCTGGACATGCAAGGTTTAATATCGCTATACCTCCTTGCAGGCTCATCCCAAGTCGGGCATTTTGACCTGAGTGCTGAAAGGCATGCTGCACATCATGTTCGTGGAGTCGTTCTTTTGTACCATCGACATGTATTTTATGTAAACGCACATCCGGAACCTTTCTTGAGAGAATTTGCCACGTGCATTCAGTTCTCGCCTTCAATTGGTGATGCTTGACTTCATACATGTGGCCTGTCAATGACAAACAGAGCGACCCAACGTCCCTTCGAGCTGTGACACACAACTGAAACTTTCATGGGAATGACTTGGAGGCCCCTGCGAACCCGAGACAGCATGTGACTCAGCAAAGGCAGAAGGCAGAAAAACTGCGGGGAGTATTACACGAAACTGTTGGTACAGCATCTGCACACAATGCGTCATGTTGGCAAAACATGTTGCCCTCACGACCCAAGCTTACTCCCCAAAATTCACGGATGGATAAGGGGACAGCCTGCATCTCCAACAGCCAAAAGAACTCTTATGCACATACTAATACAGGGAAATTGGTTTGCAATAGTGCAGCCTTTGCATGTGGCGCATGCGGGGGCCAAAAAATATCCTGGTTGTTGCGGGGCACGTGGACGTTTTGGCACCTCATTCTCCTCAGGTTTCGCAGCACCAAGTGTTTGGTTTGCTGTCGGCAAGGGCAGTCGACAAATTCAATTTTTCCAAAGCGGGCCACACCTTCATTCTGTTCGGAAGCAAGAGTTTGAAATGTACAAAAATATGATTGTATATATGAAGTTTTGATATGTTTTCATATTATGTGCGCAGGCGTGTGAGTGTGTGTGTGTGTGTGAAACCCTTGGGGTCACAGGGATTCTGTTGAATTTGTCCTCTGTTTCTAGGGTTTTCTCTGTCAGTGATTTTACAGCAGGGGGCACCGGGGGTGCTGATGAGACTGGTGCTAACAAAAACGCTCATCAGTTACCTGTGATACAGTTGGAGGCGTCCAACTGCGTACCTACAGAGTTCTGATGTTCATTTCTTCCTTGGTCCCGTTCATTACTAGAACAAGACTTTGGCCATTGCAGCGGTTCCTTCACTGCAGTCACGAGTTCTTGCCGCTTTTGAAATGTACGAATTTCAGGCGTTGGGCGTTTTTTGAGGTTTGACATGGCCATAACGCTTTCATACTACCTGCTTTACCCAGGCATTTTTCCACTTAGGCTTCAGGGCCTTGACACGATCAGTTCCGTATGAAGTTCTCGAGTGTGTCTCTCCTTAGTGAGAGCCCAGGGTGAAACCCAGGAGTGAAACGTGCCCACAGCGGGTGAAGTAGGCTTACGCCAAAGTTAATTTGCTAAGACCTGCCGAATTTTGGAGTCTGAATAGGCAGCTTTCGAGCACGCCATTAGGTGACCATAGCGGCCCACGCAGCCCGAAATTTTTGGCGTGGCACAAGGTGACTTTAGAGCGGTCAAGATTCTTTGAGGTCCATTGGGACCTGCTGGAGCTTGAGGGCACACACACGGCACGTACACTCCAAACCAGACACGTCTTTGGCTTCGTCGGTTTCCGGCCCCTCCATGTCGTTCCCTTTTCATCCTTTGGCCTTTGCGCACTCTTTCTTTTCTTTTGTTTCACGTCTTCCCCGGCTCTCACAAAGCTCGGACCTTTTGAACTCCTTGGAGCCACTATGTCAAGATAAGAACACATACTGCGCTGTTCACCTGAAGCTGTGCATTTCATCCGATTATGTGGCACCCCGCCTTAAGGATTTCTGAAATCAAGAAATCTTTACAGTCTGAGTTCCAGTTCATGAAACGCTACCCCTCTCTCGTCGCTCAACCATTCTCGTCAAAGACTCATGCATTGAGCAAACTTGTAGAAGTCAAAGTTTTTCACCCATCGTTTCCTTCATCATTTTCCTCCACCGTGACTTCCTCTTCTTCATCTTCTTCATCTTCCACGGGGTAGTTGTAGTCAATCCAGGCGTCTTGATTTTCGCTTTCCTCAAGCGGTCCATGCACATCTGCCTCTCTTGGTCCTTCATTGGCATTCTCTTCCTCTTCACAATCGCTTCCTGACGTTGTCTCGTTGTCTGAGAAGAAAGAAATGCTGCTTCGAAAGATGGCTGCAGCGTGAAAAGCCTTGGGCTTGTTCTGGTGACACAACCCTAAAAGATCCTAAAAGATGCTGGAGGTAGTGCAAAGTATTACGGGCTGACCTGATCTCATTTCTCAAAGTTGCATCCTTTCTATACTCCAGCTCACGGATGCACTCATTCAAACGGCGACACGCCAAAGTCAAAGAAACCTCTGGTCCCTGTCCTTCATTCACAAGATTTGATTTTGTTCGCATCTTCTGAAGATCTTCTGGAAAGATGGGCACACTTCAAGTCCCCAAAAGGACATCGAAGCCATAGAGCAAACAGCATACCATGTAGATCCATCATCAGGACCTTCACTGGCCGCGTCCTGTGGATTCAAGAATTGCGCCAACTCTTCAGCCACAAAGTTTAAAGTCTGACGCGATGCGCTGTGCCACATCCTCTTCAACTCCTCTCGAAGAACTCGAAGGCTATGGCTGTTCATCACCCTTGTTCTCCTCATCGTCACATGGGTTCTCCATTGCGTGAACTCCTTCATGGACACACTTCCTTCTCTTCAAAGGGGCCTCCTCCACATCATGTAGAGGAGCATCATCATAGTACGGGTCCCTTCTCCACGTCATAATAGTCCTCGTCATCATTGTCTGAATGAGCTGATTCTTCACCTTCGCCTTCTGCCATCAGAAATGGGCTTCACGTCTCCTCGATGCCAGCTCCTTCTTCAAACCTCTCCACGCGCATCTGTATACTTTGCCAGCTGGGCCCTCATCCTCTGCACGTTAAAGACTAAGATGGCAATCACACTCATGAGAACGAACACTGCCCAACACCAAATGCGCAGGCTCCAGGCAGCGTGCATCACAACTTGCTTCGTGCCTCCACACGTCGTCTCTGACGTGCCATTGTTGTTGCATCCCTTTAGAAGTCCAGCGGCCAAAAGAACCTGAATGATCCT